TGCAATCCCACCAGCAATGCAGGAATGTCCCAGTCTCTCTACATCTCCGCCAGCATTTACTGTCCTCTACTTTTTTGATCTTTGATGTTATTGCTGGTGTGAAATGATATCTCATTGTTGTTTTGATTTGCATCTCTCTAATGGCTAGTGATCGTGAACATGTCTTCATACGTTTGCTCGTTCTGCTGTGTATAAGGTCGCTATGGGTCAGTACCGACTTGATGGGACCTAACAACATATATAACAGACTTAATGAAGTTCTCAGGTAATTTCAAAAAAGCTTTACAGGTATTAAGTTAGAGGCATGAGGAAGAGAGCGGTTGTAAAATGAGGGGGATCTCTGTGTGGGTGAGTTCTGTTTCGTACCTTGATGTTGTGATGGTTGCTACTTCTATATAAGTGAAAAAATTCTACAGAAACAAACACACGCAAATACATGTACGTAAAACTAGTGAAAACTGAACAAGGTCTGTACTTCTTGTCCTAATGTCAGTTTCCTGGTTTCATACTGTACTTGAGTTACCTTAAATATTGCCATTGGTGGAAACTGACCCCATGAATCTCTCTGTTCTATTTTTGAACATCTCTGTACTATTTTTGCAACTTTGGAGAAATCTATAATCATTTCAAAATCAGGAAAAAATATACACTTGTAAGAAAACTTTTTAAATGGCAGAAAAACCCTTGTATTCTATAAAGTAGTAAAAGAAAATATTTTATTATTTTGAGTAGCATTTTTTATATATACTTTCAACTTTCAAGAAACTGATAATGAAAAATCATACCTTTGTAGGTCCTCCTCCAGAACTTGTGAACAAAACACTAAGCAGAGAAATAACAACAATATCACTGTGTTCAAATAGCAGCAAGGTCCTACAAAATAAAACATGTATCATTCATGAAATAGATCTGATCTTTATCGTGAAACATACATTAAACTAGAGTAAGAGAAAATAAACATTCTCCTTTGATGTCATGAAATATTATGGCAAAAATAAACCAATACAAATGTTCTGGAAAATACTTTGGCATTATCTACCTTAGAAGGATTGAAGCTATCAATATCCAATACTACAGAATCCTTGTATCTGTATTCAAGGAAACACTTAGAGAACTGTTTCATAGCAGCACTGTTTTCAGTAGCTCAAACTGCAAACAGCCTAAATGTCCACTGATAGGAGAATGGGTAAACAGATTAGAGTATATCCATTCTATTAAATACTATATAACAATTACAAAATTAATGAAATCACTGTGAATATACAAAAACACACTGATTTGTACATGTTT